TTTTCTTTTTTTGCTTTTGATTTCTATATCTCCTATCAAATATATTTCTTCTGAATTTAAGGTCAGAAAAGTTAGGGGGTAGCCTCCATTCTGCTTAGTCTGAAATATTGACATTTTCTCTTGCAAGCTTGTGTTTTGCTGGTGATCAATACAAAAGAGAAAAAAAATAACAGCAGAAATAATAAATTGATAACTCATTGCTATAAAATTTAAGTTCAGTCTTAAAACCAGTTCCAAAATAAAAATATAGTGACATAAATATGTACAAAGGATTTGATTTTATTATCATATTTTAACTGACTCATGTTTTCATCTAAAATATTTTGAGGGGTCTCCAAAAAAATCAATCAAAGTATACATTTATATTAACATCAGAAAACTCTTTCTCTCTATTTAATAAGATGTCATCCACTCAAACTCATTTCTACCTCTAGTGTGGTGCCTTAAGGCCATCATATTCGATAGTCCTAAGAATAAATTTGGGATGCTTTCTTGGGAACTGTAAATACTAGAGATATATAGAAATAATTTTGGCTTTGAGCAAAGAAGCCTATACCTTATTTTATTATTTAGAGAGTACAATTAGTCTACATTGCTTTTCCCCTAGGATACTATAATTTTGGCAACTCTTCCATTCATTGTTCTTACCCAAGGTACACGTGGGCCACAGACTTTGAAATAGAAACACATGCTCCATTTGGAGGACAAAGGTTTGTCCTAGTCTAGCCTCAGTGAAACTTACAAATGTGGGGGCTGCATCAAAAAAACTGGGCAAAAAACTTGAAAGAAAATAAAAACCATTCTCAGCTCACTAATGGAATGAAGAAATATATTTTTGTGTTTTATTTTTAAAATGGGGGACTATCTCATAATCTCTGAAAACCAGCACAATGTCAGAAAAAATTATTGCTTAATAAAACCACAGCAACAATCACAGCTTACCAACAATAACTCTGAGGTTTATTTTTGCCCTTCTCTAATCCAAAGAGTCTCTCTTATTTTTGGAGCATAGTGCAGTGCTGTCTCTGGCTAATACAAGTTTCCCTAGCCAGTGTCTCTCACAGACAGGTAATCTAAGAATGGCAGAAGGCATGAAGACTGTCATGCCAGGTTCTTTGCATGGCTTCCCATTACACAGGAAAGTACCTCTTATCTTCTCTGGGACTCATTTTTTCTCCTCCTAAATTACAATAATAATTAAACTTACTTTCTAGGGTTTCTTGGGGAATTAAAATAACTAATAGAAAGAGTGATTCATGCACTTGTTAAATTAGTTTTCTTACTTCCCTCTATTCTCTCTATATTAGTCAAGGTTCATTAGAAAAACAGATTCAATAGATTGTTTGCATGTGTGTGTGTGTGTGTGTGTGAGAGAGAGAGAGAGAGAGAGAGAGAGAGAGAGAGAGAAGAAGAAGAAGGAGGAGGAGGAGGAGGAGGAGGAGGAGGAGGAGGAGGAGGAGAGGGGTAGCGGGAGGAGAGGGGATACAGCTTTAGTTTTAGGCATTTGCTGAGATTGATAATTCTAAAATCTGCAGAGCACTCCTGTGGGCTAGAAAAGAGATGATGATGTAGTTTCAGTCTAAAGGAAGTCTGGCAGCAGAATCATGCTTCTTTAGAAGAACTCAGTCTTTTCTCATAAAGCCTTCAGATGATTGGATCAAATTATGACAGGTATTTTGTCTTACTGAAAATCTATTTAAATATCAGCCACATCTAAAGAAATCTTCATAGCAACCTCTGTAAGGGAATTTCATCAAAATTTTGAGACTTATTCAAGCCAAGTTGACACATAATGTTAAGCATCACACTTCAATGTAGCAAGCAGTAACCACATTTCAAGGCAAATGCAATCCATATATTCTATACTCTTGTATAGTAGAAAGTCTATTCCATTTTCTCAAAAGTAGGTGGGAAAATTCAAATCATAGGATAATGAAACCACCTTATCTTAATGTAACTAAATTTAATTAAACATTTTTATTGAACATTTTGGTAGATATTCCCCTCCTAAAATTAATTGGTGTATCCCTTTATCACCAGAAAATAGGAGGAAGTAAACAGTAGTATGGGAAGCGTGTGTTACAATAGTTTTCCTTATTTCTGTAATAAGCTTTCTTTATCTTAACAGAACCAGATAAAGTTTGGGAAGTCAGGAAATGTCTCACTCAGAAGATCCTATTTAAGATTGGGAATCACATAGGGGTATATGTTCATTACACTTTGGAGGTGGGTTGACAGAAATTAATATCCTAGTAAAGGAAAAGCTTATACATAGACTCTGAGGCAATTGTGAGCCAGCAGGAGATGGGGATAAAGAGAAAAAAGAAGAGTCTTTCCACCACTCCAACATTAAGAAAAGGAGTCAGAGCAGTGGGAGGTCCTCTGGGAAAAGCTACGAAAACCTGGATTTTCGTGAGGTTTCCTTCTTTGAGGAACCAAATGTCTTTTAGGACCTGTCTGCTTTGAGCACCACTTCAGTGACTTCAGATCATTACCCATGCCCCAGGGTTTACAATTGTTACCTGCAGATATCATTACTAGAATTAGAATGACCAATGTTCTTTTTTTTTATTTTTTTTTTGAGAGAGAGAGAGAGAGAGAATTGAGAGAATTTTTAATATTTATTTTGAGATTTCAGTGGACATAACATCTTTATTTTATTTTTATGTGGTGCTGAGGATTGAACCCAGCACCCTGTGCATGCCAGGGGAGTGCACTACCACTTGAGCCACATCCCCAGCCCACCAATATTCTTTTTTACATTTTTTAATATAAAATGTTTAAATAATTGGAAAAGTAGGCATAATATGACTACAAATAACTGTGTTCCTGCTTCTTGGCATTTAGGATCTCAAAATTTAGGACAATATTGCTTCTAAGCCCTTTCATTAGGCAGAACAAGGAAATACATTTGAAAAGTCATGAATTCTTAGAATGTCAATTCAAATTTAATTTTTTATATTTTTATTTTGTCTCTAACAATGAAATCTGGGTTTCTAATAACAATAACATGTAACATGATATATTCCAACAGGTTTGACTTTGCTTCTGTTTCTTTAAATTTATTCTCTGTTCCATTATAGGTAATAGTTTATATTTATTTTTTATCATTACTTCTTTTTTAATATGAGTATAATATACATGTATTCCTACTTACTTTTCCTTTTAAAAAAAAATGTTAAAATACAGCTGTGACCCCTGCTTGTAAATATAATTATGGATATTTTCAAAATATGGAGATAAAAGGCATCTCTGCACATCATTGAAAATGACTTACTTATTGCTGCTTATACAATTTGGTATTTACCTTTGGTCTAACAATTTAAGACAAAATTACTTGTTAAGAATTTGTTTGCTCACTTATATTAAAAGTAGTTATCATGATTGTAAGGTTTATAATTTTATGGTTCTACTTTTAAATTATGCATTGTTTATCTGTCTTTTAAAAATTTTACAGATTGTAAATCCAGGTTGCTTCTGGATTATTATTAAAGGAAGTGAATTGGACTATCCATAATGAAATACTGCAGTGAAAGATTTTTATAACAGCATGTGTCTAGATACAGAAATAAAGCCATGCATACTGGAAGAGGGGCAGTTATATTCTATATGTGCTTTATTCACTTTGTCTTGGAACACTACTCACAATGTAGAATACTTTCTCACCTAAGCTGATGAAGGCTTTATGGGTAATACCAGTTGTTTATAATTATCACTGGTGTTAGGATTTTCAGCACAAGGTAGAAGATAGCCATACAAAGACTGGTTGTGTAAGATCAATGTGGGGAAATTGGAAATGGCACAACATCCAAATCCAGGCATTAGAGTCATAGTCTTGGGTATTGGAATGAGAAAATTATTTTAAATCCTCAGCCAGTGTAGACACTTCAGCAGAGGGCTTGGAGTTCTCAGTCTAGTGCTGACACCTCCCTTTTGGTTGCTTTAGACTTAGGCCTAATGCATGCTTCTGTATTTTGCTTACACCATTTTATGGCCTGCCTCTTTTTGACTTCTTGCAATATCAGTGCCCATCGTCCACTGTGTGAGGCCACAACCAGCATGGCCAAACTAGTAGGTTCCAGTGAGGGACAAAGAGGGATGAGAAAAATAAACATACATACACACACACACACACACACACATGATTTGTTAGGCTTTGGATTATCTGTTGAGTATGATGATCCTGTGTTTCAGTCAGGATGTCGAGGAATGTCACTTAAGTGGAAATGGTTCCCCTTAAGAGAAGCTGCAAGTATTTATTCATTCAGCCACCCAATAAGTAGTTTTTGAAGACTTATTATGTGCCAGGCACTGTGATGGGTCCTGGAAATATGGCAGTAAGCAAAACAAATAAAAATACACATCTTCATAGAGCCAAAATCCATTTGTGACAGGAAGTAAACAAACTTAGAGGGTGGAAAAAGCCGTGCAAGTGAATGGAGAGGATAACTGTGTGGTTGCAGTTTTATATCAGTCTCACACATGACATGACTGACAATCATTTGTAAGCTCTCTGATTTCAGAAGTTAAAGCAATGCATTTTTAAATTTTTACTTTCTAAAAATTTTCCTTAGTTAAGGAGTCACAATGATTTTATAGTACTCCCCCTAACCTGTGGGTGATATGTTCTAAAACCGCAAGTGAAAACCTCTGAATATAGGCTGGGTTTTTCCATGTACATTAATATTTATGATACTTTAATTTATAGATTAGTCACAGTAAAAGATTAATTATAATATGTAAAATGATAATAATAATAATAATAATAATAATAATAATACACTTTAATAGTTTGCACTTTGGGGCCATTAATGGTACTTGAACATAAGCACCTGCAATAACAATTCTGCAATGGATATGGTTACTGAGTGACTAATGGGTAGGTGGTACATGCAGCATGGGTATACTCTACAAAGGAATACTTCATGTTCTGGGATTGATGGAATGAGATGGAAGGAAACGGTGAGATTTCATCAAAATACTCAGAATGGAGCATAACGTAAAACTTGTGAATTGTTTATTTCTGGAATTTCCTATTTATATATTCAAGTTTTATTTAACCAGTGAGCACTGAAACTGTGGATGAGGGGACTACTGTAGTAAGAAAAACAGTGGAACAGAATCTGGGAGACCTGTATTCCTCCTGACATTCTGTAATTGGGAGACTGTGTTTAGCTTAGCAGGTCCAGATGGTAACATCTCTCCTCTTCTGTAAGGTAAAATGTAGGCTGAGATGGTTTCCAGAGGGAACTTTTGGTCCAATTATGTGACTAGAGATTCTTGACATCAAACATGAAAACCAAATCTTCCTTTTCTTTTGTAGGTTTGTGTGGTATATTCCCAGGAGCCAAAGTGGTGGTGCAGGGCAACCTCTCTCTTCTCCACCTTCCTTCCTGGAAAGGGCATATGGGTTTGGGCACTTTGCTTTGCATCTCCTGGAGCCTTCACCAGCTGTTCTCTGTTGCATTCCCTCAGTTTGCTCCTGTGATGGAGCAAGTCCATTAGGGAAGGGTGGCTGCAAGAAAGACAGTAACAGGAAGTAGAGAGGAACACTTATCTCCCCAGAAGGGTAGGTTGCTGGTCTGGCCTCAGGTTGCAGAGATCAGATTGTGTGCTCAAGTGTGTGTTCCTTATTCTCCTGCTTATCAAAGTGGCTTAAGGTGGAGAGAGAGATCATAATGAGCTGGTAACTGGGTGGTGACTGGGAAGTCTTCACTGACTCTGGGGCCACATGTCACATTTACTAGAAAACATGAGCAGCAAGTCAGTCTCAGCGTTTTGTGATAATGTTTCTAGTTTCCTTCTCAGAGTAAGAGATTGTCAGTTTAATAAATAACTATGAGTACTCTTCTATTGAAGGAGGAGCAATACCAAGTAAACTTCAGTTGCAATAGGAGGGGTCTCCTGAATAGAAAGAACAATGTCACAGCAGGAATTTCCAGATATTGGGGATTTATAGGTAGATCCTTCTCCAGCTTGTAATTTTGCATGTTTATAATAACCACAATTGTTATTAAAATAACTTGTTTTGAGCTCTTGGGGACTTTCTTTTTGTATTTGGTGTTTTGATCTAGGTTTATTGAGGCAGGAGAATAATATGATGAAATTGGGCAATCACCTTTTCCTAAACTTTATGAGACAAAAGATGATGTACATACAGGCATGATGAGGATCCAGGGAAGAGACTAGTTCACATTGAAATAATCTGGTAAAGTGGGCTGTCGTTTGCCTTAATCTGAAGTAAAACATTGTACTTTTTTGGTACTGGTTTCGTTTTGTAGTATTGAACCCATACATGCTATCCTCAGCCCATGCATGTACTCTATCACTGAGCTGCATACCCACCCCCAGCCTGATATTGAACTTATTATCCAATCTCAGTATTTTATTTCTTCGTGCAAAATTGGCAAATACTAATTATTGCAAAATCCATCTATTTATAGAAACTTTCATGTAATTCTGGTCTTATACCAATGTTGATATTTAAAGATCATAAATAGAATTTCTTCACAGATTTGTTCATTATGTCTCAACCACCAAATCCTCATTGAAACACTTTTTTTTCTTAAATTTTTGGGCTTCTTTGTTGAAATTTTCATACCAACATATGTTCATCATCAATTTATGTACTATATGTGTATTTGTGCTTTTTACATAAAAATAAAGATTTTTTTTTTGTCATTCTTCAAGAAAGAGCTTTTCCCTTGCCTGTAGTAGTGCCATTAGAAACAATTTTTGTATGTGTTTTGTTTTACATTAAGCATAATAATTATATACATATATTTTAAATGACTATATTATGCACAATTTTTATTTGTAATGGAACTATCTCTGTTTCACGTTTAAGAATCCGGGTTGATGTAGAATATTTTATGCAGCTTCCCTATAGAGAAAAATAATTCAGACAGTATTGCACAAAACTATTCTGTGAAGACAATGCTGAAATTGTGTAAGTACAGCTTCTTCAATAGTTTGAATCATTAAAAAGTCTTAAATTACGTGTTTATTTGAAATCTATTCCTTGGCAGGAATGCTAAGAAATTCAGAGGTCTCTGTTCTTCAAAAAGTGGCTTCTGAGTCACTGCCAAATCTAGCTGTGCAGCGGAGTCCCCTGGGCAGCCCCATCTCCAGAGGCTTAAGTTGGGGTCAGGGAATGAAGAGAGGGCCTATGCTGCTTGCCCTTTCTAGTATTTTTTAACTTATAAAAAGTAAGAAGTTATCTATAAAGAAAATATACAACAGAATCATGGCCATGAAAGGTTTATTAACCAGGCATGGTGCTGCATGCCTGTTGTTCCAGCTGCTTGGGAGGCTGAGGTAAAAGGATCAGTTGAGCCCAGAAGTTCAAGGCCAGCCTGGGCAACATAGATTCTGTCTCAACTAAGCAAAAACCAAATATTTATGGCATTCCTCTCCAGACCTGTGTCCTTCCTCCTATGAGGACTTGTGGTCTATTAAGCATCTCAGTAAAAAGATTTATAATTTTCTTCTAGATCAATAAAAATTTTTAATGTATTATAAATTTGCTGTAGCTATTATGAAGGCAATGTTTTTACCTATATGTTTTTTCCTAACTGGTTATGATTAATACATATAAAAACATTTATTTCTATATGTTTATTTCTTATTCAGCTACTTATTAGTGCTTATGTTTATCACTTGCTTGCTGACTGGAAATTTCCAGTCCTGCCTAAAGCCCACAGGTCCCACATGTTAATGTTTTAATTTCTCTGATTGTCTAGCTTACATGATTATCAGCAAGTCACTAAGTTGTAGGTTTTATGCTTATATTCTTCTTGGATGGACCAGGAAGCTGCTGTCCTCCTACAGAGGTTGAGTCTCTATGGTGGGTGACAGTCCCTGGCAAGGTAAATAAAACTCTCTTTTGATTTCAAATTCAAACTTACAGTGTTTCCTGGAGTGCCTCTCCATAACACATCCATTCCAGCAAATGCCATAATTTCATTCTTCTTTATGTCTGAGTAATAAGGAATATATATCTTTGTTACAATGTATTTTTTCCATATTAATTTATACAGCTTCATACATGTTCTTTTAAAATCCCAACATGATTTCTTTAAAAATTGAGCACTTTGTGTAAAAAGTATAAAGTTCATTTAGATGAATAAAATTCTAAAAATATCTAAGAAGGAAGAATAACAGAAGTTCAGAGTAGACTAGAAGTTACCAAAAGCTGCAGAAAGAAGGGGGGAGAGATGGGAAAGTTTGGCAAAAAAATAAAATAATAAACATCCCAAAGTCATTTTTAAATGAAGAAACTTCACCAAGTGAAGCAAAGCAATTTATTGAATAAACTTTTTTTAAAAAGAACAATTCACAATACAGCAGCACAAAAGTAGAAGAATAGGGCCACAGGATCAGGAGGCATTTACAAACAGAAAAGAGATGTGAGGTACAAAAACAACTCAACCGGTTACAAAGTCAGCTTTTCAGGTTGCAAATGGTGTTTGTCTCATTTGGTCAGTTCAGACCTCCCTACTGTGATTGGCTGGGACTCTCTGTTAAAAAACAATACTCTTAGTTTCATTTCAATCCTCTAAATACTAAAATAGATTGCAAATGAAGGTTCATTTCACAGTAGCTTTGGGGGTAGGAGAGCAAGAGAAGGATGATATGTACACAGAAGACATGGAGCCACACTATCCCTCCAAGACTCTCTGTTTCCACATGGAATTGTAACCAACAATCCAGGATTTTTGTTTAAGGAAATTAGACCCAGAGGAGCTTCTGAATTAATGTGACCTATCCCCAACTAACTGCCAGTCTTGATGGCAAAAATGTTGCAAAAATGTCCACGGGTATGCAGAAGACCAACCTCTAGGGAAAGATGAATTGGGTGCACCTGACTTCACCACACACCTCCGCCCCAGCCAAACCATGCAGATTTCTAAACTGTTACATAGTGTTTATGTTGTACCGGGTACTCTATGTTAACATTCAAATGGTTTAGAAAATGCAGAGACACTTCACCCCACCCGTCGAGGCTCAGGGGGCCTTCAGCATCACCCCCTCCTTCTCAGAGGGAAGGGGTTATTTCCGTGGCAGGCCCGAAGGTCTCCAGACCTGCATAAGGCAGCTGGCCAGGGGGTCGTGGTGCTGAGGACTTCCGTGGCTAGTGAGCATACAAGCATGCCCAGGTCTCCTCTCCCAGCCTCTGCAACTGACTCTGCACTCAGGTCTATCACCGCGGGCAGCATGGACAGCAGCCAATTAGTGCACTCTGGCTGGCTGAGGAAATCGCCGCCAGAGAGGAAGTTGCGACTCTGTGTGAGTACAGGCGGGTACAGGGGTGCTGGCGAATGGGCGGATAGTAGGTGGGGCCAGGCACTTTCTCTACAGACTTGTCCCAGCCAGTCTCCCTGGAAACGCAGCCACTTTCAAAGTTCACATTGAGGGTTTTGGAGGCGAAGTGTGGATTTCCAAGGCAGGGTGCCATAGTTACCACGGAAGATCAGGCTGAAATTTCAGCAGGGAGCAGGGTTCAGCCCTCTTGCCTGTGCCCTTAGGGTCACCTCCAGTGGTTCACAGCTGCTGTTGGCCCTGTGCTTGGACCATTCAACTTTGTTATTTCAGTATTTTTCATCCTGTGAGCAGGGCCTTCTAGTTTTATCCTGAAGCCTAAGCTCTTTAAAAGGGCTAATTGTTTTATACCGAGGTAATTTCAGATGCACACTGAGACAGAATTGGTGGGGAGACCCGTTGCCCTTTACCCAGCCTTCCTGGGTGAACTCATCTTAAAACCCCGTGTTGTGGCCTCATCAGGTGCTGACAGCAGCACAGTCAGGGTGCAGAAGGGCTCTGGTGTTGAGCAGCTGGCCTGTCTCCCTTTCTTTTCACCTCTGTCCCTCCCAGTCCTGGCACATCCTTCACCCCTGACAGCCTTGAAGTTGTCTTCTGTGTCTGTGACCTGGTCATCTGACCAGTGTTGCTTCAGTGGACTCAGGTGGTATGTTTCCTTTCAGAGAGTTTCAGCATGAGACACTGGTGACTTGTCCAAGCTGTTGTGTGTCAGCAGTGTATTTTCTCTTTGTTAAGTGGTAGCCTGGTCCATGGATGTCCAATCTCATGTCTTGACCATTGACCCACTCATCTTAGTTCAGGAATCCTTATGGCAAAGTACATTGAACACATTCCCTGTGACTGTATTCTCTTTGAGCATAATGCCCTCGAGTCTTGCCTTTTTTATTTTAGGATTGTTTGTTTTTGTTCTATGTTGAGTTTGGAGAATACCTTATACATTCAAAATATATAAACTCCACTTTGCTCAAAGTGGAGTTTATATATATTTTTTTCTTTTTTTCCTTTTAGTGGGTGGGGTATTGAGAATTGAACCCTAGGGCACTTTACAAATGATTTACATCCCCAGTATTTTTTTTTTTATTTTTAAGATGGGGTTTCAGGAAGTTGTGGAGGCTGGCCTTGAATTGAGTCATAGGCCATCCTCCTGTCTCAGCCTCCCACGTTTATGGAATGACAGGCATGGCCACCACATGCAGCTTGCATGTTCATTGAGTCTTTAACTTATATTTTTATCCAATGAATCAGGGCTTCCACTGAACAGAAGTTTATTAATTTATTCATCTTCACTTTTCTAGGTTTTATTTCATTGTCAAATCTGGGAATGTTTTGCTTAACCATATGTTCTAAAGATTTCCCCATTTACTTTAGTTTTGTTTTCATAAATGTCATGGTTTGGGTCTAGAATGTCCCCCAAAGCTCAGGTGGCAGTGCTGAAGTTTTAAGAGGTGAAAAGTCTGGATTACAAGGGCCCTGACTTCCATCAGTGGGTTAACCATTCTAATAGATTAATAATTTGAATAGAGCAGGTTGGTTTATAGCTCATAGTAGAACACCTGCACAACATGTGTGAGGTCTTGGTTTCCATCTCCAGAACCAACAATTTCTGAATTCAATGTTTTATATGAATTTAAATATCATTGCATAGCTGTACAATGTTAACTTTAATTATCTACTTATAATTTTTGTCCCAATATGATTTTACTGTCATGTTTGCAATGAACAGATGATTAACTAATAATTTCTGATGAAACACTTAAAGTATCATATTTACAGAACACCCTTTGCAATACAAAATAAATAGTTCTATGCATTCCAAGTAAGTGTGAGAGATATTAACAATGAATTTCTAGGAGCAAAAGTCTAAAAGTAATAGTTCTACATTAAAATGTTATTTAAAGATAATATATTAATATAGGCAGAAAAATATCAAACTGAATCAAGTGTTCTCTGGGGTTGTAGCTTAGTGGTAGAGTACTTGTGAGGCACTGGGTTAGGTTCACCACCACATATAAATAAATAAATAAGCAGAAAGTTCTATCAACAACTAAAAATATATATTTATAAATAATCATGAAATCGTGACTTAATGTCTTTTGCCAGTAAGCGGATGAATCTAGAAACTATTATGCTCCGTGAAGTAAGCCAATCTACCCAACATGGTCAATCTATAAACGTCTCAATAATATGTGTCTGGGTCGAGTACAAACATGCATTGTATTTGATCTTATTGATATTATATACATACAATCCATTAAATGCTTACACATAGTGAGAATCTCACTGGCCCTTTTACTGAAGGAGGCTCCTGACATTCCATGGAGGGGGACTGAGCCCGCTCAGGACCCCATTTTCCTCCCCTACTGCACCATCAGCTGTGGGGAAGGACAGGTTAGGTGGAGTTCAGATGGGACCCTTAAGCAAGGAAAGAAAAGAGCTACTTGTTACAAGCTGGCCTGGGGTGAAGGGGGCGCTGGGCAGACAGGTGGGTTGCTGGGCTTCCAGACTGTAGTGGACTCTGCCTGGTTCTCCTACCTTTCAGGGCACGCAGCTCCAGGGTGAGGCTCTAGGTTCACTTCCTGGAAGGTTTTGCTCTCTGCTTTTCAGGTCTGACCTCTTAGCCCCTGGAGACCCCCACCCAGTTGCCCTTCTGAAGCTCCAAGTTCCTGTCCCTATTACCCCACCCCTGGCGCCTGAATGCCACTCAACCATGTTGCCTTGAGACCCCCCCACCTGCTTCCACTGGTGGGCCCAAAACAGACCCACCAAGGAAGAGACGCCAGATTGACAGCACAGTGCTACAAAGTATCCAAGCTACAGATAATTCACTAGGTGCTGGAAACCCATGGCCAGGATGGGGTGAGAAAAAGGAGGAAGCTGTGATCTGAACGACCTCTGCCCTGGGCGCCACAAGTATAGTCAAAGCTGGACTGGTCCTTCTGCCCTCCTGCAGGCCATCAGTGGATTCCCCACTCCATGCAGACTTGAGAACCGCCCTGCAGGGCGTGTATAGTGGACTGCATGCTCCAGAGCTGTTGGATGGGGTGGCTCAGAAGCCTGAGGCCTGGGCACCTGGAGCTGGGCTTCAAAGGGAGGAGGCCAAATCTCCATTTTTTTACCTGCCCATTCTCTCTCTGACCAATATGGAAGCACTTTTCCAGAGGCCTTCCACCACTTTGCTTGCCTATGGGATCCAAAGGCTGCATTCATTTTTTTGTCTTTAGGTAGAGTGGAGGTTGCTGTGTTCTTTAGTCTGAACCTAGAATCCGGGCTCAGAGGATCCTCCTTCCTCTGTTACTGAAGGGTCCATTTTCTCCCCTCTGCGGAGAATTGAAGAACAGGACACAAATAATTAAGCAAACAAATAAACAAAAACCCAGCATGTTTATTGCAAGAGCAAAAGGTAACAAAGTAATAAACGTCTCCCAAGAGAAGGGGAGTCAACAGGAAATACTGACTGGTTCTTTTTGTAAATATATTTTAGCTGTAATTGGACAAAATAACTTTATTTTATTTATTTATTTTTGTGGTTCTGAGGGTTAAACCCAGGGCCCCACATGTGATAGGCCCCACTGAACCACAACCCCAGACCCCTGACTGGTTCTTTCCATAAGCTTTGGACCTTCTTCCTCCTTCTATCTCCTCCCCCTCCA